AAAGTATATACATATATATTTTTTAAAAGTATAATTCTCGAATCAGATTGCCTGATTCAAATCATAGTTCCATCAATTACTAGCTTTGGGATCTTGAACAAGTTACCTAATGTTCTTTCAGTTTCCTCATCTGAAAAATGGGGATAATATCAAACTCAGGGTTATCATGAGGAGTACAGTAGGTCCTTGGATTATGTCAGAGATCCGTCCCTACGGCGCGACGTAACGCGATTTTCGCTGTAAGTTGGAACCCACCTATATAAGCACTTATGTCGCTCACATGCAGCACATACACAGCAGTAAGGAAGTGAAACAGTAAAAAAAAAAATTTAAAAGAAATATAATTCCTGACCTTGTGGGAAATAAATAATAAAAAACATAAAGCACATATGTACATACGTTAAAATGACGGAACTTTTTTTTTTTTTTATAAATAAATGGGAGATGGTGACGTAACCACAAAACGAGTCCTCCATAACCCGAGGACTGCCTGTACCTTGTTATATGGATTTAATTTTTGAACCATATGAATGCATTACCTATTCAAAACAAAAAAATTAAAAAATATCTTTGTATGTATATCACTAAGAGTATTGCTTTCTGCTCATATTTATTGTTTTACTAAAATTGTCCCCTCCCCCAGCCCCTGGGAACCACCATTCTACTTTCTGTTTATATTCATTTGACTGGGGAGCCTCGGTGGGGTGTCCCCTGCAGCCAGACGTCTGGTTGGAAGGTATTGATGCCCTCCTGTGCCCCCCCGCCCCTCCCCGAGCCCCCCCTCACCAGCATGCGGCGCCAGCTGGTGTAGCTGCCCAGGGCCAGGGAGATGTACAGGAAGATGACCAGGTAGCTGATGGCGAAGATGGGCAGGTCCTCGGCCGTGGTCCGGCTGATCTCGTCCTCCAGGGAGCGCTGTGGGCACACCCACCAGCCCGCTGACCCTGGACTGCTGTGGGTCACTCCGGAAGAACCGGGTGGGCCACGGGAAGCCCCCCAGCCACCTGGGGTGTCCCCAAGCCGGGGACCCGCGGCCTACCTCCGCCATGAAGGTGACCTGGAGCGTGCCGGCCATCTGCCGCTGGAAGGCTCGCATCTCCTCCAGGAAGGCGCCCTCCCAGAGCCGGGCCTGGGCCAGCCGGGGGTCGCCGGGAGGGTAGTTGTTGAGGGAGAAGGTCAGGATCAGGGCCTCGGCCGCCGAGTACTCGTTCCCTGGGAGGAGACGTGCTCAGCCCCCTCCAGCTCACCTGCCCGCCTCCACCTGCTCTCTGAGTCGCTGTCTAACCCGCACCCACTTCCCTCTCAGCCGGAGCGTCTGAGCGGCGCTGGGAGAAGGTGGAGGAGGTGGAGGGTGGCAGGTCTACCCCCACCCAGCCCCCACGGCAGTCACACCCCCATGCCACCCTCCCACTGCCCCAGGTGACCCACTTACCTTGGTAGCCCCCCACGGCGAGAAAAGGGAAGACGGGGGCCCCATAGTCAGCCATGCAGCTCAGGGCCAGGGCCGTGCCATCCTTGAAGGTGAGCGGGGCACTGGGGGGAGAGGAAGGGCTTCCCAGGACCCACTCCCGCCCCCGCCCCGCCCCTGGCCCAGCGCCCGTCCCAACCCCGGGTCAGAACCGTGTCTCTGGCCCAGTGCAGTGTGAGCTCACACACCTCCCCCTCCAGACCTCCAGGCCCATCACCATCGCATTCCGGACGAGCCTCACACCTGGTCCCCTGGGTGGGGCCCGACGATGCCCAGTCCTGACCACCCGCAGAGCCGCAGCAGCTCACACACCCTCAGCCTCCTCCTCCCTCCAGGCCCCAGTGCCTTTCTTTTCTGTGACAGTTTGCGGACCCAGCGGCCTCGGGCCAGTCCTAGGCCTTCAACAGCCCTTTCGGCCAGCGCATCACAGGTGTCTGAGCAGAGGGCTCTGGGAGAGGGAGCCTGTGGTGACCAGCTGTCCTGGGTGTAGGGGCTGCATGTGACCTTGAGCAGCTCTCCACCCCTCTCTGTCTCTCAAAGGAGAACAATCGGACCACCCACAAGTGGTTGTGAGCATCCAGAATCAAAATAACGCCAGTGTGAAGGTGGGGACCAGGCCTGAGCTGCCCCGGACCTGCAGCCAGGAGGGCCCCTGAGGCCCAGGTGCAGACCTTGGGGAGCAGCTCAAACGCGGCGCGCCCTCCATGCAGGGGCCGAGGGTCTGCAAGGTAGGAACTGCTTTCCCGAGACCTCCATGCCCTTTGCTGTTCACCGTTTCACTCTTGAGTGTGTGAAGTACAACAGGCCACGGACGTGGCTTCTGCACCACATGGCCGCTCACAGTTAAGAAAAGACCACAGGCCTGGCCGGTGGGCTCAGTGGATAGAGCGACGGCCTGTGAACTGAAGGGTCCCGGGTTCGATTCTGGTCAAGGGCACATACCCAGGTTGTGGGCTCAATCCCCAGTAGGGGGTGAGCAGGGGGCACCGATCGATGATTCTCTCTCATCATTGATGATTCTATCTCCCTCTCCCTTCCTCCCTGAAATCAATAAAAATATATATTTTTTAAAAATCAATGGAAACATATCCTCAGGGGAGGGTCAACAAAAAGAATCGAAAACCACCGGCTGAAAGTGCAGTTACCCAGGAAGGCCGCACCGCACGCCCCTCTTGGGAGGCCGGACACCCTCTCGCGCAGGACCCCACGCTGGGAGGCAGCCCCTGACACGCAAACAGGGCACGGACGCTCCCTGCTCCAGGAGCCCACCAGGGCCACCTGCACGCCTGCCCCAACGAGCGGGTGGGACCCCACCAGGGACACACGGCCTGAGACCGAGACCCCGAGGAGCCATGAGGCCTCTCGGTGGCGGGCGGCCGTGCCTGGCCTGGTCCCGGAGGGAGGCCGCGCCCCGGCCGGCCTGCAGCCGCAGGGGACTCACTTGGCGCAGTAGAGGAAGTGGTCCCTCCAGTCCACCTGGGCCGTCTGCCCCGTGAGCGTCTGGTTGGCGGTGAGCAGCAGGCGCGTGCGGTTGCTCTGGAAGTACTGCAGGAGGCTGTTGATGCAGCAGTCGGCGAGGCTGGCGTTGTCGGGGTTCAGGGGCGCGTAGCAGACGTCCCGCAGGGAGACGTTGCGCTGCTCCTGGGGCGACCACACCTGCAGGTGCCGCAGCCGCTCCTGCAGCTCCAGCAGCGCCAGCAGCAGGTCCGTGCCCAGCACCCCCCCGAAGGTCTTGGGCCCCAGCAGCAGGGAGTCGTACTGGTAGCTGGGCCGGCTGGGCGCCGTCAGGATCACCTGGTTGGTGCGGAAGAAGGGCCCAAAGTGCTGGTCGTGGAACGCCTTCTCCCGCCGGGCCTGGCTGTTGGGGGCCGACCACAGCTCCACGGGGTCTGTGGTCAGTTTGGTGAAGGCCAGCCCTCCGGCCAAGAAGGCCAGCCCCCAGGCCAAGGCCGCCACCACGGCCATGGACACCAGCAGGACGGTCCACGGCCAGGAGGCCACCCACGTGCCCCAGCCCTCAAAGCAGGCGCTGAGGAAGGTGTGGGTGGAGAGGCTGAGCGTGTTGGAGACGCTGGGGCCGGCCTTGGGGCCCCGAGTCCTGGAGCGCAGGCGGG